CTTTCTGAATAGCAAAATGCCTTCATGCTTTCAAGCAAGATTTTCCAGAAGGGATCACTACAATGCTTTCCGATTTCTAAACTGGGGCAATAACCTCTAATGTAATTCAAATAACAGACCATAAAAAGAAGTAAGAAAATGAAGGAAATTGTCTTTGGAAGTAGTCTTAGACTATTGTAATTCCAATTTGCCACTGATGCTGTATTCTGACATACAATACCAAGAACACTATCAGGCAACAAGAAGGAATCCCATGTGTTTGTCTTACTAACTGAAATGGGCTTTTTGCTTCTGACAATAATGGAGAACTCAGCTTATCTTTTGGAATAGAAACAGAAATGGCACCATTATTTATATGACCTGAAATTTACCTTTTTACATTTCTCAAGAAGATATAGACAGATGCTGTTCATTTATATGCTTGAGTAACTTCTTTTAAAACAACACTGGCATTATGCAGATTACACGATCATGGTTTTGTCAGAAGTCTACTTAGTGTTCATTGCTATGCAGTGGTCTCGGGTAGATTGACACACATGAAAACTGTATCTGCAGGAGGCTGCAGAGATAATTCTTAAATGGTGCAAAAAGCTGTATTCTCCTTAATTGAAGCTGGGAAGAATCTTGTTAATTCAAGTTGTCTGGGATAATTGTGGAGCCATCATCATGGCTCATTCACACTACCATGTTTCTATACTAAAGGCACTCTCAGATAACAACATTCTGTGCCAGCTACTCTGCCCCTTGACTTTTGGGGACAACTGGGTCAGAAAGAAACGAAGCCCCTGTACTTTACCTTTATAATCAGAGAATTTTCCACTTGCTGATCAAGGAATTATTGCCAAGAGAAATTAAGACCAAAAGGCAGCTTTACATGTTGGCATGGGCAATGTATAGAACTTAATATAGAAAAGACTTTTAACTACTGTTAAGCAAAAGTATAGCTTAAAATCAAACTAAAGCAAGAAAAAAATCTCAAGTTCTGGTAAGCCTGTTATGAACTCTTCATAGAGTTTGTATATTTAAAAGGCTATATATAGTATGGTATTATATCATATTAACTCTATTATATGAACTATATTTTATTCTGTTCCGTCGCACTGCATAGAGGAAAATTATTATTGAAAACATGACTGTCAAAACGTAGGGTTAAGATTTGACCACGAGGGGGGAGCATTGCTCATCACACATACCCAGGGCACTTTAGGCTTTCTCTGTATGTACTAGCTGTTCAAGATAAAAATAACCCGTATATTTCGTTCTATAACCTGCAAACGTGCATGTTACCACTAGAATAATAAGTTCCCAGGACAAACACAAAACAAGAACCTTTTAACTGTCTGTAATTGATAGCTGAAAAAGAATATGTGAATAAACTGTGTTTTGGTCTCTAGAATGAAGAGTTGTACTGAAGGCTTTTTATTAACATCACAGAATCTTTTCCCAGTGGGAAAAAAATGAGGAGGTCCTAGAGATAACCTGTGAAAGTAGTAATCACAGAATCATAGAACAGTTTGGCTTGGAAGGGTCCTTGAGAGGTCATTTAGTCCAACCCTCCTGCGATGAGCAGGGACATCTTTCCAGGGATGGGGCATTTACAGCATCTCTAGGCAACCTGTTCCAGTGTTTCACCACCCTCATTGTAAAAAATTTCTTCCTTATATCCAGTCTGAAATGGGAAAGAATAATGTTCTCATTTGTTGTCAGTTTTGTGAGCAGAAAAAAAATTGCAAAAAAGAAAGTTTGTAAGTAGATAAAAATTATTTCCATGTGACTGCTTACAATTTTCCACTCAAAGCATTGAAAAGCAACTATTTCACATGGGAAAATGAGGTTGTCCAAAATGGTTTAATAATGTTCTATCCCACAGGAAACATTTGATGAATTACTTGTGCTGCTGATGTCTGATAGGGCTGTGTCTTTATGTGGGAAATGGCAGCCCCCTATCTCTTTTCTTGGAACTGAAAAAAAAAGGCAGGATTAAGCAATAAGCTGTGTCCCCCACAGAAAAAAGACATATATGAAGATTAGATTACCATGAGAAGGAGACTAGCCTGTGTTCAAGAGACTTGCATAGGATTTTGAAGTAGTTAAGACTAAAATCTAAGGCCTGTCTGAAGCTTGCATAGCCATCCTCAAGCTAGCTTTAAAGCAGTTGGCTTTGATACGGATTGACTCAGTCCTATGAAGCTCTGGCTAGATGCATACGCAGTTCCTCGCTGTCTCAGCGAGCCTGATCCCTGTTTCCGGAGGCATGCCCACTCAACTATTTTTAGGTAGCTTCAAGGTAACTGATACAGAAACTACATTTCACACCTATGACTACAGCATAGACATGCACTTCAATGTCTTCATGTCCACATGGGATAGATATTCTGTGTGTCCTTGGCCATTTGGTTCCCCATGTAGTAGAATGACAAATGTATTAGAAACATTTAGGAATGTATGTATTCCTATAACAAGATATTACAATGACTTCCTTTGTATGTGTTCAAAAAGCAACTTGGACACGGATCCTGCAAAAATTTATGCAACATACCCTCCACAGCCTTCTTCTCCGGGTGTAGGACAGGGTAGCAGACTGACCTCAGTTGGGTGCAGGGCTCTAGTTGATGCTAATGGGTGGTGGTGAGAAAGCCGAAGCCCTCATGGTAAATCTACACAAATGGGCACCTGTTTAATACAAATACACCCCAGCTACATACTGAACAGATGCTGTAAAACCCAAGTACCCTTGACCCTGCAAAAAAGTCCAGGCTGAGTTTCACCCACCAGCAAACTACATGTAGTGAGTGTATTATAACTGTAACCTCAGTCTTCCCAACTCCCCCACCTAATCTTTTTTCCCAGCATGTGAAAGGCCAAGGACTGGCACATGAGAAAGCATATGTTTGGGTAAACATTTCCGTGGTCTGAAAACAGCTATGTATTATCCATGGATAATGTTCCTTTCTCCACATCCCTCACATGGCTGGTAAGGAGATTTCTATGGACTGAGTAATGGACAGAGCAGGTTGTGCAGTATTTGTCAAACCAGAATTGCCAGCCTAGTGCTTTCCTTTCTAAGGCATGTCATTCACGATTTTTCTCCTGATTTCTATACATGAGATCATTATAATCTGTTTCTACAGCACCTGAATGAAAAACATTCAGCCTACAAATCGTCCTTGCATGGTTACAGTTGCTTATTCACTGTAAACAACTGGTCCCATGGTACTGGTCATTTCCCTATGGAGATGAGCAGAACATTTTCTTATGGGAGAACAAACAGACTCACACCACACAAAGACTAGCAACTTGCAGTGAACCAAATTCACACTCTCGATCTTCAAGTCAGCATAAAACATTCAATTCTTGGGCCTCCCAACTAAATAGGTGCCCCTAAACTTTCCAAGACTGTGAGAGTGCAGGCTTTTAAATGCACCCTGGTCCTCAAAGCTAGGGATTCCCGGGCCTACTCTCTTGGCTGGGCTGATGCTAAATCAGCTAAAAGGCTGATGTTCTCCTAAAGAAGCCCTGTTGTTTCTGCATCCACCTGGTCCTGCCAGGACTGCAGCCTTCCAGCACAGCTGCCGCTCAGCCATCACCCACTGCAGTGGGGAGAGTAGCCATTCTGACCTTTAATTTTTCTGGTGCCTTGATAGTTACATAAAGCACTGCGTATATTCATGGGCATCTGAAGAGTCACACGTTATTTGAGTATTTATGTTTAATTTCTGCATGACCGCTGAAAGTTGTGAATGGTTCTTGTTTAATACTGTTTTCCTGACAGGCACTTAACTTTGTGTAAATAATATGGCCTCTTAACAAAATAATTGAATTTTTCTAAACAATTTTTGCTAAGGGGCCTTTTTAAAAAAAGTGCATATTTATGTGTCTGAAATTAATACATGCTCCTAGATTAATTTTTCTACGTTTTTAGTTGAGCTGTCACATTTTCTTTTTATTTATCACTTTTCTAGAGCAATACGAATTGTAAGTAATTTCTTAAAAGGAAGCAATAAAAGAAAACACAGTATCATTCTAAACTGCAGTACTTCCAATGAGGTTGTCTTTCTTGACCATCAAAACAAAGTACTGTGTTACTTACATTTAGGAATAACTGTGTTTCAGTGGATTTCAGAGAGACATACAGAAAGAAAATGCGAGCTCTAACATTTGTTTCCATTTCTTTTGCTACTTAAAACTTTAGCAATTGCTTTTGGAGCCACATGGGTTCAGATACTATCTCAGATCCCTGTGGCATGCAGCTGAGGAGGTGCAAAAGAAAAAAACATGCCACATTTTTCTATATTGCTGAGGCTACTAAAACATCTGTGCACCTCTACACTAGGTTCAGATTCATTGGAAATTATTCCCAGATGCCCAAGAAAATGACCTATGACTTTGGATTGCCTCAGTTCAACACTGTTTCAGAAACATCCCTTTTCTATAGCATCTTTAATACGATCTCCATGCAGATGTGCTCACTCCTGCTTGCTTCCCACACTTGTGGTTCAACAGCACTTGGCAAATTCCCCCTCAGACAATTAACTCAAGAAAGCTTTGTGTTTGTATTGGCATAATGTAACATGTCATAAAAAAACAGGGACACCTCGTGCAGGTTTTTTCTTAGCTCTGTTTTTTTTTGCATCTCCTATGCAGCCTGTCCTAACATAGAGCAGAATACGGCCCAAATAAAGTCAGAAGGATAGAACCTCACAAATCCACATTTCCTATTCAGCAACTCTAATAATGCAGGATTTTTCTTGCAGGCACTGCATAAAAATTGATGGATAAGCCTTACCAACAGAACAACTAAGTGCTGCTAGGCATTATGTGAAAAGGATCTTTTCCCTCAAAATGTCCCAATGGCTTTTTTCAAATTTAATGACTGTTTCTGTTAAGTCTGTTTCTGGTGACCGTACAATTTTTTGGTTTTAGAATAACCTGCAGATGTTTAGGAAACAATAGATTCATATAAAAATGGGTGACAAAATGTCATAAAATGTTGTCCTTACCATCTGTTTTCTTTGATTCATCCCCCACACCGGACTGATCTTTTTTGTCCAACTTATTGTCTTCCTTTAATTCAACTAGAAGGAAGCAGTAAGAAACACTATAAGCATTTTAATGTAGACAGAAGTTTATTAACGCCTGTAACTCAAACTGCAACATCCAAAGGAGATGTTCCTTAGGAGACAAGTTCTGAATTCACAAGGAACTGGATTAACACGTTTTGAGAGAATAAAGCACCAGACAAAATTTACCCCACTCTTACAGAAAATCAAGCTTTACAGTCTACTTTAAAATATATTCTAATTGCTAACACCTTTTTAGGTGCACATGCAAACTTATATTCCCTTTGTATGTAGGACATTAGAGACGTAAGCACAACCTTAATTTCAAAATTAGGACTCTGAAACGTTTATGCTTTTAAAGGACTAAGACCCTGCAAGACTTCATCATAAGTCCCTGCATTAGCAAACCACCTTAGATATCCCAAACGGTCCTATATGATTTTGTCTTACTTTCTCTTCCCAGTTTATTTCCCCACAGATTCATTTGGGTTGGTCCTTTGGTGACAGTATCAGGGAACAAACAACCCTCCTAGCACTGATCTCTGGCTTTAGAGTCTCTGTAGCAAATCAGGAAAGCAAGACCTTTGGCAGAGCAATGGTTGATGTGGAATGAAAAAGGCAACTTGAGCTGGCGTGTATTTTATGAAGACAGGAAGGTTATCCAGAGTCATTCTCATTTTCTGTCCTCTACTCATACAGCTGAGCACATCAGACCTTCCCAGACCATCCCTTCATTAAATGAGAATGCCAAATGCAAGATCAAATGAAAAATAACTTAAAGGGAGAGCTCTAGCAGAACAGGGCTCTTTCAGCTGCAATGTCCAAACAGCAGCAAAGAAGGTGTCCTTCCTTCAGATGTCCAGAGAAGCAACGGCAGCCTGCCCAGATGGGAACAGGCAGCTTGTCCTTTCCTCCCAGAGGAGTAGCAGTGAATTTGTGATCCACTCCTCAATACAAAAAAGCTGTAAAAGTTTCACTTGAGAATTTTGTAAATGTAGGTATGTTACGGGGCTGTATTGAAGTGATGCTTATTCCATTTGTATTACTATTTTTGTTACTGTAACTACTTCCTAGCACTTGGATCAAGATTATAGATATTATGTGTTAAAGAGGATATGATCTGCCTTCAAAATAGTCATGGCAAGTGGATATTTATTTTTGGAACAGCTCAAAAAAAGAGAAATTGTAGAGAAGCAAGGTCTCCCTCTACCCCACTGTGCCCTAACCACTGAAATATCTGTTATTCTTGGATGACAGAGGATTGATCTCTCTTTCCAGTTAAACATCATCATATTATAAAAGAGGAATAGTTTGCAAATCTTAAAATATTTAACAAGATGGAAAAAACATGTCCGTTTCAGTTCTCATTCAGAGACAAAACTTTTCATGTTTTTCTTCCTAAGCTTACTGTGTGGGTGAGAAAAAAAGTGAAAGCAAGATGATACAGAACAAGCAGCAACCTCCTCAGCTATCACACTGCCACTGACTTGGGCTCCTTCGACAGAGGTGTATGAGAAGCTCCAAGCAGGATTGAGGTGTCTGCTTGATGAAGGTGTCCTCTAAACAAAGGACACTTGTCTTCAGGAAATGAAATTTAAATATGTCTAGCAAAGCGCAGAACTCTTCTCACATTTCTTCCACCATCATATGGCTGACGGTAATGTTGAGCTAATAATGCTTTATTTTGACCATCGCATAAAGAAGTTGCTTGACCCTAAGTATGTGCAGGAAAGGATGATGAACATCCTCACATGTGTTATTTCACAGTTTGATCTCTCTGAGAAAGCACATGGGCAGTGAGTGACTGAGAGAGACTTTAAACTCACTTGACAACACAATTTCTGAACTTTCATTGAATATAATTTTTTATGAATATGGGACTTTTGAGTATTGTAATATCTACCCTGCCATAATGCCAGCCGCAGAGCAGAACGATGATCATAATGATCTTCTTGAAAGGGATTACAAAGGCAGAGAAATAATAAGGCAAATACTTTACTATGAGGTATTAACATATAGGCATAAAGGAAGCTGTGATCAACCCAGAAATATGAATGTTAAGATTTCATCTGTCTCCAAAGACTCTGCAGTGATTGTATCTCATAAAGGCCTTTTCCCATAAATTAAGGAGCAGGATTTCTTTTCCTGAGGAAGACACTAATTTTCAGAAATCATTATAACTCCTTTCAAAGCATTTTTGACACCTGCAGCAGAGAGACATTGTAGAAAAAGGTACTGTCAAAATCACTAGAGCACACTTAACCCCTGTACTGTTAGAAGCATGTAAAACAAAGGATTTCAGAAGAAAAATCTGATGCAGTCTAACTGGGATTTCATATGTCCCCAACTTTTTGTCTCCTTGGGGGGCTCATTCCTATTCACCTGCGTAACACTGTCTGAAGACAAATCCCATATGTAACAGAGCATGACAGCTCTGATCCTCATAGTTCTTCCAATCTAAAAAAAAAAACCCTAAAGATGAAGGGATCACTGGGAAAGACCAGCAGCCAAGTGAAATACATGAGAATCGTATCAGGACTGTTTTAAACAGAATTTCCGCCTCTGCTGTCATCTACACTCATTGCTTGAGCTTGGGACTTTCAAAGTCTGTATGCTCACTCAGGCTTTTTCTAGGAGGATGCTTCCAAGTCTGAGTTTTTTGCTGGTTTTGGACTGGCTGATACTAGACAAGTTTGTGACAAGTTACATGTGCCTCTACCGCCGTTTTTTGATAACAGCTTCAGGGAGCAGGAGCTGGGGAGGGAAGGACAGTGAAATGGCCAAGAGACAACTGATCTGTTCTCATGGGTCTAATAATTTTTAAAATAATGTTTAATGCGATTTTAAAACATTTTATTCACCTTTTTGAGGTGAAAAATGTGAATCTTATTTTAACCCAGTTCTGTAGCAAGTTAAAACAGTGGAATAAAATTTCTGTCAAAAAAAAAAAATCTTCAAAAAATGGCTCATGACTGCCCTAATAAAAAATGGAGCAAAGGAAGCATAAGTAAAGTAACTCTTAAAAACAGAGAGGGGAAAAATCCTCTGTCCCCAAACATATTTATATCTGAGACTCAGTGCAAGGATACCTTTAACTGGCCTTAAAAAGATTTTATAAGCCAACTTTTGGCTTCTCCTGTCAGTTGCCCAAGCAATGAAGCTGTTCATTGAACCACAAATAGTTGATTTGGCTTTTCAGCCTGTTTATCATAACAGGCTGCTTCATTTCCATGAGGAAAAGTAGTTTTTCCCTTTCTTCCAAAAGTGCCCAAGCAGGTATGCTGAACCCCATCTTCTACAGAAGAACACTACTTGAGAGTTAATTTACAGTTTCCGATTCCCATGCTCAGGTGACTACGTCAGTGACCAGGAAGAGGCTCTGGGCCCAGGACACCCTTTTTCAGGACATCAGGCTCCCCCATCACTGAGGTGAAATACTGGGTTTAGGGCTGGATTTATATTTCAGCGGAAGGAGAGAACTCACCATACTGGACATGCTGTTTCTCTTCTCCCACTGCATGATGAGAGTCTGTTTCCTTATCTGTCCTAGGTGCATTCTTCCCTTGAGAGGCTTCGTGTTTGTTCACCCCAGTTTGCCGAGTCCCATTTACATGATTCTTATTGGAATCTGAACTTTTCTTTTCCCCAGTATTTGGCTCTTTGCTGTTCTCTGTCTTTGCTTCTGTGGCATCTTCAGCTGGCTTCTTCTCATCCTTTTCATCTGTTCCCTGATGAGTATTTTCCTCTGCTTCTTTCTTAGCTTTTTCTTCTGCATCCTCAGCAAAGAGAGAAGAAAACAAGGAAAGGAATCATGACTATCAGTCAATTTGACAAGAATAATACAACTCACACTACTAAATCTACTTCAGCTTTTTACACACAAACAGCATTTACTTAGTAAATGTAGGATTTGACTTGACAAAGGAAAAAGAGCATGAGAGAACATTCAAGAAAGTACTCTGAAAAAAACACTCCATGTTGGCTTAAATGTATATTATGTGCATATCCTTTTTTATCATATAACATTCACCTTTGAAAATGCAGTTCCTCAAAATTCTTAAAAGGCAAATTAAAAAGAGATATTAGCTGTTGAAGGCTCTAGGGGTGCCAAGGTTTGTTTCGTTTTTGACACACGACGAACAGACAAATGACATTCAGTTTATCTCATAATGTACCATATAACTAAGAACATAAAACCTCTTGGTTTTTTGATACTTTTTTTTTTTTTCTCTCTAGTTCCAAGTTGCTTCCAATGCCAGCCTCCTAATCTCTTCTCTTCCACTTACTGTTATCCTTTCTTTATGGCTCTGTCCTTTCTTGGCAGACTAATATATTGCTACTAGTACTTGCACTTCCATCCCCAAAAGTCTTACATTCAATCACAAATATGCAAAGGTATAAATTCAAAAGTGAGTGCTGAACAACAGCAGCATCTCAAAATACTGTCATTCAGAAAAAATAAAAAAAAAAGATTCACGCAGAAGCCAATTTCCCCCAGTAAAGATACTACTCTTGTTCTTATCCAAACCTTAGGTACTGATGCAATACACTTACCACATGGGTTGAAAATTACTTTGGGTTCAGGTGTTGAGCCCAGGTTGGGTACAGCACACCCCACAGACTCACTGCAAAGGCTTTGTGTGGCTTCCTGTGTCACACTGGGAAGCAGGAGACAACCACAGTCCCTCAGTGCAGCCTTCGAGCTAATGAACATGTCTGGATGTGCACAGACTCTGGGCAGAGACTCGGCAATTTTCTCCCCATTTTCCATGATGAATGGAGACTTAATCTGCACAAGCAGCTGAATAGCTCAGCACACACTCAATTTGGAACCTGTGAGCTTAGGTAGCTTCAAGCATATCTATATCCATACTGAGTCTAATCATTCAGATGTGACCACCCTATGCCTGTATTCAAGACTTCTTGGTCAGCAATATCCCAGCCCACTCATTAGCTCTTCGTGGGCAACCAATTGCATGAATCACAGAAGTATCTCTTGTTTTCTGAAAGACTGTGTACACTGATAAGCAGAGGAGCAGATCCTACAAAACACAGAATAAAGTCTACCTCAGTCCTATGGAAGTATTCTCGACATCTATACAGAAGATGTTTTGTTCCTTACAGGAGCTGGGTCTTGACCATGGAGTAAAAATTACAGAAGAATTTCTAACTGTCTGCTTAAATACTTATGAATGAATCAGAAGTTTTGAGAAAAAATGTACCAATGGGATACAAGAGAGAAGGGGGGAAAGCCATCTTTATAAGAAATGCCAATCTATATTTTCTTGCCAGCAGCTAACTAAAGTTAATTAATTTTTAAATTAATAAATTACGACTCACACAAAAATATAATTAAATTAGATAAGAGTCTCCCTCACTTTATTAATCATTCCTGAAATCTATGGTAGTTTCCATAGATAGCTCAGTTACGCATGTTGATATTATCCCTGGAGTCTCATGGTACACAGAAGGATTCCTCTCATTTGGGGACTGGAAAAAAAATCCCACATTTTGCACCTGAACCACAGGAGAGAAATTCAGCTCAGGAGACTGGGGCTTGCTACAGCACTGTTGGAGGAATGCCTCTTGTCAAAATTAGTGTCATAAAATAATTTATATAAATGATGCTTTGCACATCACGGTGTTTGTTTATTTATTTTTTTTTTAATTTGTAGCTATTTAATGATGATCCTTTAAGCAAAAAGAGATTGGTAATAAACCCACTTACTTTGCTCACACAGTCCAAGAAATTTTCTATAAATACCACACTCGGGATAAAAACAGCTGACTGATGCTTCTAGGAACAATACCATTACCAAAATAAATACAGTATTCTACAAATAATTTAGTAATAATAATAATAATAGTAGTAGTAGTAGTAGTAGTAGTACTAGTACTAGTAATAACAGATGGGTTTTCTTCCCTTTTGATCCCCAGTTGCTATTTGTTGTCAACAGTTAAATGCTTTATCCATCTTCTTTTAATAATTCTTATTTTTATTGATGCATTGCAAGACATCAGTTTGACAGGGGTCAACAATTTAAACCCCTGCTGTGTGGCAGGCCCTGCTGCATATGGCTAAGACAGGTGAGGCAGATGGAGGGGGGTGCAGAGACTTGCTGCAAGACAGCAGCAGAGCAAAGGTTTTGATGTAAGAGCTCTGGAGTCCAAAACAGTTCCTTAGTTCCCTGCCCATACAAAGGTATGCTGAACCACATGTCTGTATAAATCTTTCAAGAGAAAAAAAATATGGATGCTTGTACTACTAAATATACCCAGAAACACAGAAAGTCAATGAATTCAGATGAACAGAAGCCGAGACTGCTTTCTGAATCTTTGACCCATAAACCAGGGCCTGATCCAAGTTATTGGTGATGAAGTTTGGCAAAAAAAATAAAGTAAATCAACTTTAGGTTGCTAAAGGTTGTCATAAAGGTAAAGATAAAATGACCTACTCAAGCTAGGTGTCTAATAATGCAGACTGGTGAGCTCTCTGCTTTCAACTGATCAACTAATTCTTCTTATAGACTACTCTCAGGTAGTCAGGATTTTTGTATGAGGCAATTAAAAATAAAATAAAAATAAACATGTTGCTCTCCAGCTAAAGTATGAACAACCAAACATTTAACATCAGGATACTCTGTAAAGAATGGATATGAAATACTGCATCAATAAACATTACCAGCAGCAGCATTAGTGAAGCGTTGTACGCACATCCACTTGAATCATAACTGGACATTTACGTGTGCACGTTTAGAAAAATGTCTTTATGCAAAGCAGTCACTGCAAGTAGGTATAAAGCACATTTAAAAATTAAATATCCAGAACGTATTACAATCTGGTTTATTACAATTTGTTTTAGGTGAAATCTAGAATAGATTTTATTTATTTCCCAACAGGTCTCTCTTGCATATAGGATTTTTATCTAGTAGATGAGTAGATGAGTAAATATGTATGGTACATGTTGAAATCAAATCCTTAAAACTAGTTAACTGTATTGGCTTCATTCACTCAACACTCCTATACTGTCAGACACTGACCATGTTAAATGCTTTGCTTGTTTGGTTAGCTTTAATTTGTTTGGGCCACAAAGAACTAGTAAATACCTTTTTTTTTTTTTTTTTTTAAAAAAAAAAAAAAAAAAAAAAAAAAAAAAAAAAAGCGCTAAATAAAGCTCCCGGCAAACAAGCAGATTTTGAATTATATTTTTCTTTTCATTTTCATGGAATGCCTAGAAACATTTTTCATGAATGGCAAGTTTTAATCACAAAAGAAAATTTAATTTGAATAATAAGGCGTGCTTGCCTGCACCCTTAGACAGGCCTTTCAGTTGGAAAGGAACAATCTGCTCTGGCAAATAGGAGAACTAAGCCAAACCTTCCATCAGCCCTGAAGCCAAGGCCACATAATACATTAAAATCGAACTCCTTCCATTTCCATGAAATACAAAAAATCCATTAAATAAGGGTTTGAGCAACAAGCATTGAGCTCAGAGAACAAATTACATGTCAGTTTCATGAAGGAAAAAAAAAATCAGTGATACATTCCTCCTTTTTTGGTTCCAAAGCTAATCTAAATCATCCAAGGGCTCAAAGAGACCTTGGGCAATCATCCAGACCCTAGAGGCAAGGGGCAGTTATACCTAAATGGCTTTCAACAGATGGCTCTGGTTAGTTCCAAAAGATCTCCAACAATAGAGATCTGCTAATGTCTAACTTTTATCAGTTTATAATCACTTGCCAAATTTTTCTCCTCTGGATAAAAAAATAGTTCCCTTATTTTGCTGCTGTAGTAGTCTTCAGAAAACTGCTCTCAGCTAAAAACAACAGGTATCATCATTTGCATTGCTGTACTCTGTATGTCTGCAACTGGTCCATATGTTTGCTGAACTGCAGTGGCCAAAACTGGACAAAGCACGGCTCTGGGGGCCTTGTTACTGCTAGAAAGACATGCCAGAGAGGTCTTAGAAGCAAGGTCTGGGTTGTTTTTTTCTTGGTTTAGGGTTTTTGTGCTTTGTTGTTTTTGTTTTGGTTTGGTTTGGTTTTTTTCCAATATCAAGACAATATTGAACCCTGGTCAACTTGCAACCAACACAGCCCTCACACTCTTCTGAAATATCTGCACTCCCTCCCAAATAGATGACATCACGTGCATTTGCAGCATAGTTTCCAAGTCATTATCCAAGTTATCACTAGAAATATGAAACCAGCTGTTAACCCAGAATACCCTGTCCTTCTCCCCTGAACTATCATCCATACCTCTTCCAGTTAACAGTTGATAACCTATCTCTAGAAATGCTGTTCCAGCTATTTTTGCAGCACCCTGAGTTCGACTCATGACTTCAGGGGACCTCCCTTACAATTTTTTTTTCCTCCCACTGTCCACATCTTCTTCACTATGTACACACATAGGAAGAGTATCAGGCACAGATGAGTCAGAATATTCCTGTATTTCTGAACTCAGTGTAGGTTGCTGACCTTGAAAAGCAGATTCTTTCCAACTAACAGTGCTTACTTGGAAAATAATTGAAGAAGAGCTTGAAGAGGTCAGAAGAATTTTTATTCTTTCATTAAGAAGCCTGGCTGTTACCTTTGGTGGCTTGTGCTTTCCACTTCTCCCGGTTCTGCTGCACCACCTCCGTCCAGGTGGCTTTAAAACATTTGAAGTCCACAGTGAGTATGGAGCAGTTGAGTGAGGCACTTCCTTCGGACCCAGTGCTCTTGACACTTGATCTTTTAACTTCGGAGGGACTAATGCTATTCAGACTGGGACACAAGATCACAAAACACAGAAGAAATCAGTATTGCATACACCCAAATACAGATAAGAAGAAATAATGAATGTAAGTCTAGATAACTTAACAGAGTCAACCAGGAAAACCAAAAACTAAGCATGAATCCATCATCCTCCCCTCCCTCTCCCTCACCCCAGGGCAACCATGTTAAAGCAAGCAGCACAACATGAGCCAGTATTAGAAATAAAGGGCAGCTTTTCCCTGTTTATTTTTTGTTATCCGTAGTCCCTAAGAAATAGAATCCCACAGTGTCGCCATTACCTTTGTTGTACATCTTCAGTCCCTAAATATTCATTGGAGAGTCAGACAATTTGAAATCAAATATGTCAAAAGGGAAGCCTCCTAAAATTCACCAATGGGAGCCATTAGGCACAGGACATGAGGCCAACCTCCATCCAGGGCTTGGTGATCTCAGCTGAGGCTGAAATCAGGAACTCATTTCAGCTACAGACCCTACAGTTGCCTTTCAAGGATCGACACTTCATCGTGCATGTTTTAACCAAGGAAGCAAGATAACAGACATAGGAAGTCACTTTGGGGAGAGGGAATCCTGACTTGGTAGACCTACTCTAGGGAGCACTAGCCATGTGGCATTGGAATCTCAAGACATGCCCTGTCTATGAAACTACTAAAAGTAGTTTCTTTAAAACAGCAGAGCAGGTTGAATTGGCCAAGATTCCTTACGCTCAAATTCCAGGTGGATTCTGGGTTGTACTTCACACATTTGTGTAACCCTAAATACTGTTACTAAAGTATGCTTATAGTCTTTTGTATTTCAATCCCATTTATACTTCTAGACATGAAGAAATGAGTGCCTCCCAACTCATTCTACCTTCTCTTTGACATTAGTGACTGAGAGAGCACTAAAGTTCACCTGACTGCATGGCTACAACCATTTGTGATCATTGCCTTTGTAGGTATGGCTCAGGTTCATGCTAGCCTCCCCATCTGCCCTCCCCTGCAACAAAGGGAAGGTTTAGACTGGCTCTTAGGAAGCATTTCTTTCCAGAAGGGGCTGTTGGGTGTTGGAATGGGCTGCCCAGGGCAGTGGTGGAGTCCCCATCCCTGGAGAAGTTTAAGAGTCGGGTTGACCCAGCGCTGAGGGATCTGGGGGAGTTGAGAACGGTCAGTGTGAGGTTCATGGTTGGACTGGAGGATATTCAATTTTCCAACCAAGATGATTCTGTGAAAGTCATGTCAGAAGGTGAGCTGTGGTATTGGCAATGTGGATACAGGGCTTTAAGCCACACAGAAGACATATGCTGTCGGGGGGAAACCAGGAGAGTTGGGTGCAATGGCAGCATGTGCAGAGTGAAGGGAGAGGGTGTGTGGTTAATCACCTGGAACGCCTGAACCCAGACATGCCAGAGCGGGAAGCTTCATCGATGAGCGGAGTCACAATCTTCTCGGTCATATCAGTCAGCACAGTAAAAGTGGGTTCCACGATGAAATCAATGAAACCTGAACAGAAACACAAGTAGAGTCAAGCATGCAAGAGGAGGATTTATGTGAAGTCACTGCTTCAGTGACAGCAGACAATCACACTGTAAAAGACAGAGTAAAACAACTGTACCTTGAAAGAAGGATAGGCAAATACTAGAAAGGGAAAAGGGAGTTATACATTCATCCCTGACCCAAGAGCCTGCATATAGCGTGTAATAAAAGGTACCTGCTTAAACACTGGAAAGAAACTGTAGTAAATCAGAACACAAACAGATGCATCATTTAACATCTTTACTGATATCTAGACGAGGGGATCGAGTGCACCCTCAGTCAGTTTGCAGATGACACCCAATTGGGTGGGAGTGTTGATCTGCTCGAGGGTAGGGAGGCTCTGCAGAGAGACCTGGGCAGGCTGGAGCCATGGGCTGAGGCCAACTGGGGGAGTTACCATAAGGGCAAATGCCGGGGGCTGCCCTTGGGCCACAACAACCCCCAGCAGCGCTACAGGCTTGGGGAGGAGTGGCTGGAGAGCTGCCAGCCAGAGAGGGTCCTGGGGGGGTTGATTGACAGCCGGCTGAACAGGAGCCAGCAGTGTGCCCAGGGGGCCAAGAAGGCCAATGGCATCCTGGCTTGTGTCAGCACCAGCGTGGCCAGCAGGGACAGGGAAGGGATCTTACCCCTGTACTCAGCACTGGTGAGGCTGCACCTTAATTCCTGTGTTCAGTTTTGGGCCCCTCTCTCCAAAAAGGACATTGAATGCCTCGAGCGTGTCCAGAGAAGGGCAACGGAGCTGGTGCAGGGTCTGGAGCACAGGTCTGATGGGGAGTGGTTGAGGGAACTGGGGGGGTTCAGTCTGGAGAAGAGGAGGCTGAGGGGAGACCTCATCGCCCTCTACAACTCCCTGAAAGGAAGCTTCAGGGAGCTGGGGATGAGCCTCTTTAGCCTAGCAGAAAGCGACAGGATAAGAGGGAGTGGCCTCAAGTTGCACGAGGGAAAGTTCAGACTAGATATTAGGAAGCATTTCTTTCCAGAAGGGGCTGTTGGGCGTTGGAATGGGCTGCCCCGGGAGGTGGTAGAGTCCCCATCCCTGGAGGTGTTCAAGAGTAGGGTCTCTTTAGAGCTTAAGGATATGCTGTAGGTGGGAACTGTGCCAGGCAAACGGTTGGACTAGATGATCTCCAGGGTCCTTTCCAACCTAGATGATTCTATGATTCTGCATCAGAACTTGTTTTATATGAATGTGATATTTAAGTCAAATTCATAGCAGATTTGGATAAAATCCAGTTTCAGAGATGAACTCTCTAAAAGCACAAAATTAATATAACAGTAATAAAACTGGTAAGCTTTGCTGGTGTGGAGTTACATCCAAACCTCCCTTATTGCTTATCAGCGTGTTGCTGTGAATATTCTCTCCTCAGTGCATGACCAGCTTGTTCTTGTTGGTTAATAAAACAGATTTAGATGCTTTTCCTCCCACTTTTTAATGTAAGGAAAGGAAAAAAATAAAGGCCAAAAATACTTCTACTTCAGCATATAGTTTGGCAGAGATTAATATGGCTGTGATCCCAATGTTAGGAAGGGCAGACTGAAGGGCCCTGTGGCCATAAGCTCATGGGATGAAGAAAAAGTCAAGTTGCACAGAAAAAATGTGAGAGTGAGGAGCTTACAGTACCTTACACCTTCCCCTAAATTCTGACCTTGAACAAGGGTTATTTCCTATGTTCATTTTAGCACTTAGCAAATTTCTTCGTGCTGCATGTAGCCAAGAAAACAATGACGTCCTTAATCCCTCCTCAGGCACATTGAGATTCAGATCTTTCCCTACTGTTACAATTTTTAAAGATTTGGTAATTATCAACTATTAATTATACATTCATAATATTATAATTTCTCCGACTGGTTCATGATACGTTTCTATGACAGACCCTGGCAATTCTAGGTGATAATGGGACAATAAAAGAGACCACATGGGCCAGGCACCTGAATTCACAGATGCTTTGATCCACATCTTGAGTGCAAAGCAGTTGAACATACTTCTAGTTCCATTTCCCTCCCCTGATTTTTGCTAGCTTTCTAAAAGGATGGATAATTAAGTGTATTTTCATGCCTAGCCAAATTAAAAATGTTACTTGCAAGTCCTCATACTCACATTCTGTAAATCTAGAGAAAATATGCATTCAGTCTTATCTGAACATCTGAATCACGTGCCTTAATTACACTATTCAAATTTAGGGAAAAAAGAACTCTCTGCCTCCCAGGGAGTTAATCAGAAATGTATGCAGTATAAAGGCATGACAGGAAATAATGTGCCAGATCACAACCCAGATAATCCCAACAAACTTCATACAATTTTTTTAAAACACTGGAAATTGTACTGACTGGGAACAGGCAAATAAGAACTTGATTTACATATGTGTGTGTCTGCCTGTCTACACATCTTTTCTACTCTCCTTCCCTAAAAAAACCTTATACTTCTTAATGACCAAAGAAATCTAAGCCATGGTACCTTGTTACTTCTGCTCGGCAAGTAATACCACTGCCATTTGCTCCATCGCCACTAACAACCCTGAAAAAACGCAAATTTCTCACACCAGATGTGTCACTAACTTCAGCAATGAGGTGGTGGGATCCACCTCCTGAGATACTCGACATTTGCACATAAACACAAGGTCCAGTTGTAAGTGTCTAAGAGACAAGTTTTCCCTGGGAGAAGTCTTGCATCTCAGCAACAAAGACAGGCAGAGATGGCACGAGGGACCATGGATAAACAAACTCAAAGACTTAGGACTTTTCTTTGATAAGTACTTTTTTTTCCTCTACTCCCTATAACACGAGAAAGTTATTCAACTGTGTTACCTTAAAATGGGGATTATAATAAAGTTGGGAAACATAATCTGCTATTGTAAAAACAAAATTTAGGACTTTATTAATAATTATGCAATTTAGGCCATATTCCCAAGTGACTCCCCCTGCCACCATGTTCTCTCTTCTTACCTAAAGACACTGTGATTTAAATTAAACCCCCTGAATATCAAATAATGAACCTGGATTTTAAAACCTATTAATACTAATGACCATTTAATCATTCTTTTTCTTTTTCAATAGAATGAGTGCAGTAAATATTTCTGCACAACAGTGACTAAGATGATTTTATGAATTAACACCGCATGCTGAGGGTGGATTCCAGGTATGTGCCTAGTGTTCATTCATTCCACCTGAGAATGTCACCAGAGAAAACACTGGCTAGACAGTTTCCCTAAAGCTCATCACCACAAAAAAACCCCAAGAATCACCACCATGCACTCTCATCGGCCTTTATCCAATGTTTTCTGAAGCTGTAATTTTTTTCCCTGCCAGCCAAAGGACAAAAATAAAGGGATGCTGCTACATTTTTTCAGCTGCAGAAGAGGACAATGACAACAAAGGCTGATCTCCAGTCAAACAAGCTTCCTACAGTCTGAGATATATGAGAAGCTTTAATTCCTGACATTGTTGCTGGGAAATACAAGTCTTAGCCTGTTTTTCTTTGCAGCTTGTTTGTCTCTCTCACTCCGATAAGCAGCCTGACTTATGGACATTAATTTCTCCTGATTTCTGTACTTCACTGTGGCACAGAAATATTTACCACACTCATTCTATTGAAGAAGAAAAAGGATGATAAATTGGTCATTAGCATTAACATGAATAGATTTTAAAACCCAGGTTCATTATTTGATATTCAGGTGTTTTTAATTATGTTTAAACTCTGAACAATTTCTTCACAAACTGAAGCAACAGGAGAGAAAGACATTCTTTCTTCTTAGGAAGTTTTTGCTGCTAGTCTGCTTCATGTCCGTGGAAAAAGTCCATCTTGCAAAACCTTCAGTCTGCATTTTTGAAAATCTTTTGTTAATGAAAATGCCTGCTCACTGTGTTGTATTATCTGCAGTGCCCTTAGAGCAGCAAACTAGCATCTACAAACAAGTCAAGCCACCAGAATAAGATATCTAGTCTCTGTCCCTGACAGAACTGGGAACATGATTTTATTTCACAAAGGATAGAGATTTTTTTCTGTTTGTGGTAACTGATGGCTGCTCGCCACATATAATAGCACAATTTGGAATTCAGTAATAACTTTCGCAAAGAAATGTAGTAATTACTGTTCCAGGGAACAATTTGTTAAGGCTATTAGTCAGGTAAATAAATTCATGACAAAACAGATCATTTGTCCGAGAATCTAGCCCACAACTTTGAAAGCCTTATCTTAGCAGACAGCTAGAAAATACAAGAGGTTTTGATTTAACAAAGGACATGTTACAGATAGATACTACCAATATGTGCAGTAGCCTGAGAAATGAAAATTTTACAATGTAAGAAGGCAAGATTTATAGAGAGTAGCCTATTAATGTAAATGGATTACTAAACTGTAGAATATAATATGGAATATAAGGACAAATAGCATACGACTAAATAAGGTTGCCTTTGCATACTGATGAGTGCCTCTTTTATAGGGTGGGATTGTGTTGGTGACGGTTTAATCCATCATTAATTTTGCAGTGGTGGGGCATTGGTGCAGAAGTTTCTTGTCTCTCTTGGGATCTCTGAACAAAGGAGCACAGAAGAGGACATGGAAAACTCATTTCCAAACACACACAGCCCTGAGTAGAGGGACCCTGTGGGAAGCACAACTCCTCTACTTTGTATGGAGAAGTTTCTACATGCGCTTTCCTCCACACCAGCCAGAGTTTATCTTCTCCCACAGCACAGCAGTAGGTATAGTGTGCCTGGGAGTCCTCAACATGGGTTTTAGCTGAGACCACTTCAAGTTTGCTGTTGCTTTCCTCCACCAAGCTGCTGGCAGAACACACAGTTGCACTGTGCTCTACATACATTCCTACTCTTCTGGATAGCAGAGGAGTAAATGCTACAAGTCTGGCCACCAGGCTGGGATTGCATCGGGCTTTTCAAGTTCAGATTCTTGGCTGAACTGTTTAAACTTCCAAAGCCAGAAAAATCTGGGATGGAGTCCCTCAGAGTATGGCTTGCTTAACAGGAAAAATTAAATAATTTTAAAAAGAAACAGCTCTTTGCTACAGATATGAATCTGAACTTTCCTAGGTTCAGGGATATCCCTGTCTTGTTCTTCGAGAGGAATTTCATACTTCAAATTTTTTATTCGTCTTCCTTTAATACTTTCTCTCTCTTTCTGCTTCTGGTTTCAGTTCCCTTATTCTTAGAGTCTGCGAATCTTTCTCTTGTTTCTCCATTTGGCTCCCTATTTTCCCATTGAGGTTAGATCACATTCTTCTACTTCACTTGCTTCTTAGGTATAAAAACCCATCCATAAATCCACCTTTTCCATTGTCTTTTTTTTTTTTTTTCTCTCACAGCCTCATGAACACTTTTACTTCACTTAGCCCCTTTGGTTTTCTCACCAAATACCAGGCTTGTTGCCTCATCCTTCTCCTACTTTTTAACTCAAAAACTGGAGGAGAGGTAGAGAAAGTGTTGTCAGTAAGTCTGTAAAAAGATCTCTTTCTGAATGGGTGGAGCAGAAAAAGGTTTGCTATTTGCTCGGCTTCAGTGAAAAATACTGATTGGCTTGAAGCACTGGGAAGGAAACAGTGGAAAGAATAAATGGAAGAACGCACAGTAGGTTTTGCATAGGTGTGGGGCTGATGTTACATTTTCACATCCACCAATGATACTCATATCAAAACATGTTGCTGTGTGTGCCTCATCTTCACAGCTCAGAAAACCATGGAGTAGTGTCATAACCAGGCACTGTACTCATCTCTGCAGACACATCAGAGGCAACTTGATTACTGCATGGAACCACTATCATAAATTTAATGGCTTCTCAACTTTGAATTGTTGATCTGGGGAAAATAATTCCATTGTGCTTTATTTCCTCTCTTTCACAAAGTTCCAGATGATGAGAGATCACTATGATTTTAGCTCTACAGGGAGGAGTAAACTTTGCTTTTCAGATGCTACTTTTCCTGCACCGAAAGGGACATACCTATCTGAGACTGAGCAACCATAGTAGACTTGCGATCACACAGTGGAGAGAAGGGAAGCCCTAGTTCTGCTTCTTTGTCGCCCTGGAGAAACAAAATTGAGAAGAAATTAGAAAAAGACAAAACACATTGCACTTTAATACCTTAGGTTACAACTGTAAAAGCCTCTCATTTTACTTTCTTTTATTAATTTTAATTTTAGTTTGCTTTTTGTTATTGGTTTGTTAAAGTTTTTTTTTTAACACAAATTCTGGTGAATGAGTCTGTCTGGAAAAGTTATAGTCCAGGGAGAAGTGGTGAATTAAGCATTGTGATTCCAGTGATTCCTCAGAGCTACTTGGTACTTCTATGCACCAACTAAAAACCCACTTGAGCACAAGTATGCTTCTCACTGCAGTTCTCCCGAGAACCCAACGGAACTCAGTTCTCAGAGCAAAACTTTAAAGAGAAAACATCAGTCTCAGGACTGATTTTTCAAGGCTTGTACTTCTTTGCATGTCTTTTTTAGTCTTTCAGAGAAGGAAATAATAGGTCAAGGCTGGCCAGATGCAGATTACTTTCTTCTTCCAAAGGAAACATTGACATTTTTCTACAAGTAAGTAACCTGCTCGGTTGATGTGGGGTGAGCAGTGGACAATGTCTACCTGGATCTCTTCAAGGCTTTTGATAAGGTTTCCCACAGCCCCCTCCTAGAGAAATGGATGCGTTACGGTCTAGACAAGTGGTCTGTGCAGTGGATGGGGAGCTGGCTGAGAGATCACACCTAGAGAGTGATGAGAAATAGCTCCTTTTCAAACTGGCAACGTGTCACAAGTGGGGGCACACAGGGATGGATATTGGGCCCAACACTGTTTATTATCTTCATAAGTGATCTGGATGATGGGATCAAGTGCACCCTGATGAAGTGTGCTGATGATACCAAACTGGGGAAGTGGACATTTCAGAAGGGAGAGCTACCCTGCAGGGAAGATCTGGATAGGCTGGAAAAGTGGGCTAACAAGAACCTTATGAAGTTCAACAAGGACAAGTATAAGGTCTTGCACATGAGAATACATAATTCATGAGTACAGCACAGGCTGGAATTTACCTGTCTGAGGAGCAGCTCTGTGCAGAGGGACCTGAGTGTCCCAGTGGGCAACAAGCTCAATATGAGTGAACAGCGTGCTCCTGTGGTAAAGAAAGCCAACAGGGTTGCATCAACAAGGGCATCACCAGCAGAGATAAAGATCTCATTATCCCACTCTACTCAGCGCTTGTCAGGCCATACCTGGAATACTGTGTTCAGGTTTGGTCCTTGGTATACAAAAAAGATGTGGTCAGGCTGGATATGGTCCAGAGAAGGGCCATAAAGATGATCAAGGGACTGGGAAGTCTGCCATGTGAGGAAAGGCTGAGAGAGCTGGGTTTATTCAGCCTTGAGAAAAGAAGGCTTAGGGGAAACCTTATCACCATATTCCATTACTTAAAGGGTGGCTCCAAAGAAGACAGTGAGTCCCCTTTTACAAGGAGACACATGGAAAAGACAAGGGGTAATGGGTTCAAGTTACTCCTGGGGAGATTCCCGTTGGACACAAGAAGAAAATTTTTCACAATGAGAATAATCAGACATTAGAATAATCTTCCCAGGGAAGTGGTGGATTCCCCAACATTGACCAGTTTTAAGATTCGGCTGGACAGGGTGATGGGCCATCTTGTCTCAACCTTGCTTTTCCCAAGAAAAGTTGGAGCAGATGATCCTTGAGGTCCCTTCCAACCTGGTAATCTATGATACTATGAGCCTAGATTCTGACATTGTCAACATTTCACATGAGTGCTTAAGTACAAAAGTCCAAACATGCTTTTCAACCATCAGAACTGGAAGTCCTTTTCTAACGTCACATGTTGCAGAAGATCAAGTGTTATAGCCCCACTTTTTTTTCCCAGTCTTTCAAGCTCCATATTCTCAAAAAGCCCTTTAAAATGGTTCAGTCACTCTATAACATATTGCTTTATGCTGAGAAGATATATCAGAAGACATAGCTGCATAGCTTTTTGACTGTTCTGACTAATGTCAAATGGAAGCTAAAATAGACGGCAAACTAACCAGAGAAAAACTTCTGTAGGCATAAGAAGAGCTGAATTCTTCTTATTTTTGGTAAAAACATACAAGAAGTGGGGGCACAAGTCCTGTTAGAGTTTTGGGTGAAACAAACAATATTATTCCTCTGTTGCAGAACAATTCTGCTTTGTTAGGAGTCTGATATACAAATATCAGGGTAAACCAGAAACCAAAATATTTCCAAGTAACGTTTCTTTACTGTGTCTGCTGCATCTCTCAGGAAAACCATCTCTCAGAGCCATCTCTTACCCAATCATTATTTTTCTCTTACTCTTTATGCCTCTTAAAAACCCCAGGGCCTGATTCTCTTTAGGAACAAACCCCTGACTACCCTTCTGACTGCTCAGAGAGATACTTGACTTCTAAGCTGTTTGGGCAGCTCCCTCATGGCTAGCTAAAGTGCCTTTGTAAAACAAATTAATTCATGCAAGATGTTTTCTGTAAGAGATGCTCACCGTAGCTACTGGATATACAAAACTAGTATTGTACTCAAAAGAATCATTCACACCTACAGCGTGGTTACTTGGTGTAAGAAGACCGTTGTGATATCACAAAAGAGGAAACCAATAGGGCTGGGAACCTGTACTGACATAGGTTAAGACAGGCTTTATGTCTGTGCAGAGCACATAACAGAAAGGACGTGACAGGGTCTGTAGGTGAAGAGCATAAGGAAATAAAATACCTAATCTGAGGCCAGCCCAATTTCTCATCACCATGGTCCCCTCTAGCTAGTGGTATTTCTCAGCTTGAGAAGAGTGGGTGCTGTTCTTCTGCTGTCAAGGTATTAGGTACAGGGTTGTAATTACTAATCTAATACTAAATAACTTCAGTTAACACAAATCTATACTTCAGGATAAGCTTAAGGGTTTTCCTGAAGAAGGAATTAAAATTGTATCTGAATTTGGAACTAAAATACAAGTTTTATATAAAGCTTTATCTAAAAGTGAAGGTATCTGTCATTCAAAACTAAAGTTGGATTTTATGGCTGAAATTATTTTTTGCTTATGAAAAAATAAAATAATAATTTTGTCTTCATTACATGTATGAAACAGATAAAAAGTAGGGCTTTTTGTGGTCTCGTCTCTAACTACTCTTAATTCCCTCACCAGTCTTTTGGAGACTCAGCACTGGTGTATTTAACAAACCTAGTATAATTTTGAGCTAGGAAAGCATAAACATGCACAGAGTTTTCCCTAAAATGTATGTGAAAATCATCCTACTTGCATGACCCTCTTGTGTGGCATCAGAGACAGTTGCAAGTATGATCTACCTGCTTCCACCTAGTAAACCCATTATTGTTTTGAAAAACAAATTGAAGGAATAACTTTGAAGCCAATTCTAGCAATGACCTTATTAAGAAGAGATTCCCACAATGCCTTTAAATTGTCATATATTGTCATATATATATTTATTTCTTGTGTTCAGATTTGCTATAAAACATGAAGTTATTGAACTTTGGAGGGAAATTAAGCACTTATTTTTCTGCTTAGTTTAGTAATTCATATTGGTGAAAAGCATCCTAAACACTCCTAAGTGCTCTGTTTACTTATAATTTTTTTTTTTTTTTAAGGCAGCTCTTTAAATGCTTTAATTAGTCACTTGGGGAGCTTATAGCTATCACATGGAGCTTAATGATTTGTCTAGATTTGTGGGTCTGTCAACAGGCAGTCAACTGTGAGCTATAAACTAGATCAGTTCACTTCATCTAAAGAAAGAGTAATACATTTTTCACATCTACCCCAATAATATAAGAACAGTTCTATAAAGTACTGCTACCTAAATCTGTTTTCTATGGTTCTACAGCTAAGTAGAACATCATGTAGTCTATATTTTGCTATTTTGAAACACATATTAGCTTCCTAAATTAGAATTTCTACTATGTATATAGATACCATCCATATCCATATCCATAGGCAGTGTATCAGACACTAACTTCCCAAGAGGCATAATAGCCAGTGCTACCGGTGCCAGATGAGAAAGTCTTGTACCATTAAGGAGGTTTTTGCATAAATCAGAGGAAAAGGAAAATATCTGTGTTCATATTTGCCTACCTCCTTGCCCAGTCATACACACTCCCTCTAAATACAGAGGAACTTCCCCAGATTTACCTGTCTGAAGAACTCCTCTAGCAAAGACATGGTCCAGCGATGATGGAGATCCCAGGCCTTGGCTGGATGACTGATATCTGCTGTATGCAACAACAGTGATAAGGCTTTCGGCTTGTCAATTCTGAAAACCCAAAGGACCAAACAAATTAATTGTATGCTCTTGCAGCGGTGAATGACAAAAATCTCACCTAAGCAGGGAAACGAGGTCATTAGAATCTTTGGCCAGTATATTAATGGAGTGATTTCTGTCTTCATAAAATGAGACAACTATGAAAGATTGTCTGATTTCTCCAACATACAACATTCCTGCTGTAAAAAAGACATTAAGAAGTGCAAAGATAAACTTTGCTCAGCCTTGCTGATCTCCTTTCCAGGCTTGCTTGTCTGCACAAACAGGCTTGAAGAGCTGCTGTGTTCCCCATTTCAGCTGGGCTGCATTTTATGCAGCTCAGAAGAGAAGTTGGTCCCTACCATTTTACTATAGTAGACAGTAAGGATCTGATCTCAGGGGCACTGATGTATCTACACAGTAATTGATAAATATTTCACTGCTAGAAAACTAGCGTGAGGTCAGAAGGGGATCTTTGCATCCGGTTCCACAAAACAAAAAAGGCTGCCAGCTTCTTAAAACCATAACCTGACATGTTAGCCCAAGACCCCAGTAAATAATGCTTTCTTGGGATGGGTAGTTTTAATTCCAGCTTTTGACTCTCTGAAATAGCTGGAAGAGTTGTAGCTTTTGAGAGGACCAAGTGGCTAGCCACACTCTGGTCTGATACAGGTATAATTCTGGGAGGCTCTGGACAGACCTGTGTCCAGGGTGAAAAAGTGACAGAGCTTTCTGCAGTATAAAAGGAATTTCATGGGAAGAGCTGTGAACAAAATATTACAGGTCCCAGTGGCATACTGGGAAGAAGAAAAGGCCTTCTCCATACTGTTCCATCTGTTATTTTCCAGTCATTTCCTGAGTGGATCTCAAGTTGTTTTCATCTGTCCTCTGGTTATGGAGCAGGCCCCTTGCAGAGGTGGAGGTGACACCACCTGCAGAAGGTCAATGCATAAGTTGTGTTCTCTAGATCTTATAACCTTGAGTCATACTCAAGCTGTAGAGGTCACTCAGCTGGATCATGTCCTTGATGTTACCCTGATATGCAAAGGGGAATGCCCAGGGAGGCTTATCCCACCAGGGTGACCTTTGTAAGCTTTTGTCCACCAGCACAGAATAGAGATGTGTGGATAGGAGAGTGCCAGTCCACTCCTCACTGAATTCATTCAAAATTCAACAGCAGAAAGAGAATTGATGTGCACATCAAAGAGAGTGAGGGCCTCTGGAGAGGTGCTTTTGAAGTCAAACACAGTAGCAAAGCACCAGCTGAAATGTAGCCCTTCACTGCACAGCGTTGTGAAGTGACTCACCCTTCTGGCTGCTGCAAAGCATTCTTCATGGCTTTGATTTGCTGGAAGTGACACGACATATCGGTGGCCAACACCATCTCAATCACTAGAGCTCTGAATTCCCTTTTGGATGGCATCATGATGAGAGGAGCAAGGAAAGAGAAACACAAAAACCAGCATCAGACACACACCAGTTTCTTTTGCTGTCCATCTGAAAATTATTGACAGTACTTCTACCTTTGCATGTCACCCTTTGCATCATCCCGCTTTCAGGGATGGGGAAAAGGATAAATGATTTTCTACACAAACACAGGATTGATAGGGCTGCAAAGGAAGCCAGGTGGCTAATCCTTGCCAAAAATGCTCCTTTTTCAATTAAGCACAAACCTCTTAAATTGATTTGTTTTCTATGACATCCTTAGAAGGAAGTAAGGCTGTTTAAATTAATCAAGTGAACTTTTGAACCTGAATCTTTACCCACTTACCTCAAACTGGTCGATACCTGTATTGAAAGTTTAGTCATATTATTAAAGGAGAAACAGCATGTTAAAAAAAATCTCATAGTGTATATGATGCATATATGTAGTCAAGACCTTTGGGAACCTGCATTACTTGCCTGGTATTACTCATTCAAACTATTCTGTAGTTTCAGACTACATTCAAACTATTACTCATTCAAACTATTTCTTGAGTTAACTTGTTTAGTACCCAGCTGAAACTCCTTTAAAGATAATATGAATGTCCTAGAGATTTTAAAATATCAGAACATTCTGATCTTACACACAATACAAATTAATTTTTTCTTTTTCTCAGTTCAACTATCTGCAGGTTAACACAGGAAGAACAGCCCAAGGTTAGCATATCAGCTCAGGATTTGGGAGATTCAGAAATGGGTCAGCTTTCATTTAAAAATAAAAGTTACCATTCTTCTTTTCATGAATGTTTCATGAAGGACATAGTCTATTTTGAGCATGTCTCTCTTGCCTCTGGTGTCTGTGCTCAAGTTCCAGCCCCAGGCCACCACTGTGTAGAGACCAAAGACTGCTGTGCTTAGCCTGTGCCACAGGTGGCACATAATGAGTCCCCCTGATAGGAGTTCTGCACACACATTAATATGGCATCACCTGGCTTCACTCCTCCCCGTTATACCCACCTCCTCTACTCCACCCTTACATATAATAAGTTGCATAGTCAATCACATTCAAGATGATGACATGGTGGCTGAAAACAATCTTATTCTAAATTATTTTGACTCTTTTATATTTTTTTGGCCAGTTCTGGTCAGTTCCCTGGTCTGGTTCATTCCCAGGAGCACAAACATACCAATGAATGGAAGAAAGAGAGACAACAACGTAAATGCATAGAAACAAACTTACAAGAAAAGGGTCTGATCATGGTGTGGGAACAATTACTGTTTGGGATTATTCCTGGGAAAGAGCAGACACTACTATGTCCTCTGGAGTGCAACTCCACCATCAGGGCCTCCATGGGATACTTTGTGAGTAGCTTACAACAGTAGGAGCACGAAAGCAAAGTGCTGAGATCAGCAAATGAGTCACTGGCTCCAGTGCCAGCATGGACACATGCTCACAAGCACACAAGCTCTGCTTTCCCTTTCATAGACGTAAATCTGAAATATTTACATTCTCTGACCTCTGCGCATATTTCAGAACGTTGTTTCCTCCAAAACTGAGGGGAAACATACTGCAGAGACATCAAAAAAGCGAGTATGCTCACACTGAAGAGCTCTTGTTTGACACGTCAAACGTCAGGCATCACAGCAGCGGGTGACTTTGAAAGGCACATGGACAGGGATAATTCACTGGACACAGGGAATGCAGGAGAGAAAAGCTCACAAGACATACGCTAGAGGATGACAGGTTGTGCATTTGTTGCCAGGTTGAGAGAAGGCTGAAACACATTAGAGAGAGAATTGAAGACAGGTGTTTTTCCAATTCTGGGTTTTGCTGCTCAGTCAGAATGAGCCTGGGATACGCACAGCTTTAGCACTCTGGTTCTGCAACTGTCTTCAAAGTCTACGCAGCACATGATGGTGCTGCAGTCCACCCGCTGCAGAGCCTGGCTAAACAGTCCCCAGAAACTGTCTGCAAGAGGGGTTTCCGCTGAGCTATCACTGGACTGTTTCTAATGATGCCAATAAGGCACAAAAGCCTGTTGGTGTTTTACAGAACGTGCTTCAGAGTGATCTCTCTTTCACCTGGGATAACACCTTTATATCAGAGAAGTGTAGTAGATGGAAGTGGAGGAAAAGCAAGTAAACCAATATACTTTCCTCTTCTTTGCCTTTCAGAAAATATGTTTTAAAGTCTCAAAGATGAAGTAAAGTAAGAGAAGAGGCCACGTTACTCTCTAATGTCTACACATTGCTGTGAAACTGTGCAAAAATACAGCACTGAATACATAGGCTGTGTCATGTTGTTATTATGACTATTATTGACGTCTGGAGAAGAGGCAGGCAAATTCAACTCTTGCTTCCAGTGATAGCAGCAGGATTATAAAGTCAGAGATCCCCCTGGTATTTCTGCAATACCTTCTTCTCCTTTATTCCCAAGGAGCCAAACCAGTTTTGTATTCAGGAAGAAGTTCATGAAGAACCAGAGTCAATTGGCTTAAAGAGGATTTGTCCTGAGTGCTTTATTAAGTAACTTGACTCAAGAAAAATTATCCAAGTCTTTAAGCAATAGGTAACCTAAAACTGTACTGAAGAAGAGATCATGCAATCTGATGAAGAAGGAAGGAGGATTATACCTCTCTAATCTATCAGCTAGATCAAGATGATATAGGCAGACCCACCCTTGAGTAAATCTCCTCCAGGGAGTCACAGCTCCACGGGGCTAAGTATTCACAGGCATGGTCATATAGAACATTTTCCAATAAAGGTAACTTGCCTATCAACTCAGGGCAAGGAAATGCCCTAGAGACAAGCTGCCCTCTGGCCCTAAGAGCTAAACCTGTCTCCCACTTTATTCCTGGTCATGCGACATCACGGCAACAGATACAGAATGAAGAGAGAAAAGACGTCCGGAGATCTCCATCACCCAGAAAGGATTTCGTTACATGAAAATGACAGTGCTCATCAGCACCTCCTCCCCACCTGCACCATCCCCCTCTGTCATGTAAAGCCAGTCAAAATCCAACCCAAAGAAAACACAAACAATCCTCTCAAGATGTGCTCTGCACAGCAGCCTTGACCAAACAGCACGAGACAAAGGGAGGAAGAAGCTATTAAATAGCAGAGGTGTCACCTTCCCCCATGACACCAGTAACAGTTTCAAAGTCGGCGTTGTTGCCTTTCTGTACTATACCAAGCCATGAAAGCAGAGGCCTGGAAGGACACAGACAAAGGGGCATGCTGGCATCTGCTGTCCCCGTGGCAGCACAGGCACAGCAAGCTGTCACCAGCAACACTTGCACAGCCAGCTTAGTTTCCCTTCTCTCAACCACAGTCAGCAAGAGTTCTGTTTGCAGACGGTTTGCCATTTATTCACTGGGAGGAAAGAAAAACACCTCCCGTTCCTCCTTAACTGACGTTCTGCTCTCAGCAGCTTTTACACTGCTGGAGATCATGCTGGGCATAGGAAGTTGCAGGAAGATGTAGAAATGGAGACAATGACGTTCGAAGCGATGGCACCACCATGGATGAGCAGGTTCCTGTGCCCAGCGTGACCTTGTATGGTACAGAGCATCCTTTGGTCAGCGGGGGTCGGCTGTCCCAGCAGCCCTGCACCCTCCCGGCTCCTTCTGCATCCCCAGACCACTCACTCACTCACTCACTCACTCACTCACTCACTCACTCACTCACTCACTCACCAGTGGTATGAAAGGCAGAAAAGACCTTGACTGCCTAAGCGCTGCTCAGCAATAACAAGGACATCTCTGTATTGTCAACACCGTTTTCAGCTCCAATCCAAACCACAGCCCCATACCAGCGACTGTGAAGAAATTAACCCTGTCCCAGCCACAACCAGAACAGCGCCCCATCCCAGGAAGCATTCCAGATGGAGAGAGAGCTCTTCCTTTGGAGAAGCATAAGACTTCTGTTCTGACCCAAAGATGTTTTGGCAAGACTGAAACAATGAGCTTCCCCCAACAGTCAGATCTGAGTATAACTGTTAAGCGGGTATTCTTTTTCCCAGCACTGGGGCAGCACTGGGGATCGCTCCACCACAAGTGCCACACTTACTAACAAAACTCTCTAACTAATATAAACAAAAAGCCTACATATGCATTAGATTTCTTAGAAAAAACAGCCTTATGCTAATGGATTCTTAGAATTCATGTACATAGTCTGAGCATGTGTAGTAAAAATAGAGTGTGGGTCTTCTCCCCTCATTAGCCGTCCCCACAGCCTTTCTCACACTGTCTGTTAGTGAAATTTAGGGTTCTAGCATCCATATCTGGTCACAGAGTTACTTCACCCATCCTTCAGCTCCCGTTTGTTCCAGCTTTCAGTCACTTATCTTGACACTGGCATCTTCTTAGGCACTTGTTTTCTTTAGGTTCTTTCTATTAGGCATGTACTTGGGGAGTTTTCTCAGACTGTCCAACATCTGTCCTATCTTTACTAGGCAAGGAGTTAAAGGTTTTAAAACATCTTATAAGTGGGTAACTGGGTAACGAATACAGAGGGTAGTTAGGAAAAAGTATAAATGAAATTATAGACGTTACATTAAAATACAGGAAAAATACAGGAAAAAGAAAAGCTAGTAAAACATGAGATGTCTCAGTTAAAATGAGTCTTACAGATCCCTGCACATTAGCAATTTCACATATACTTGTAGCAGCTTCCTTTCAAGAAGAGCCACTCAACAATTAAAAATCCATTAAAACCCGATTACAGGCCAACTAAAACCCCGTAAGAACCAATGTCACAAGAAACACGCTCTCCTCTCCTATTTGGCACTTTTGAGACTGCAGACTCCGGCGCCCGTTCCGGTCCCCCCCGGACAGGGAGGACGCTGACCCGCGCGGTGCGGGCCCAGCCAGCACCTTCCAGAAGGTGAGGGGCCGGGGCACAGGGCACGCCTGGGCAGGCGGGGGGAACCGCCGCTGTGCCGCTGGGAGAAGGGAAGGCTCAGGGCTGGGGCTCGCTGCTGATCTGC